ATTTGATTAAGAACAATTGTATAAAATTACAAAAGTTCTATAAAAATTTTTTTTAAATTCCCTTTAAAGATTTAAAAAAATGAGGGAGTTGGAGTCTGCAGGGAGCGCTACTGTTTACTGTATGCTAGAAGATTGCCTCTTACAGAAGGAAACAAAGTAGAAACAAGTAGCATTCTGATGCATTAAAAACAGAAGCAAATAATAGTAATAATAATAAGTCTGTACTTGTAATTAACTCTTCCCCACTTTTGAGAAAAGCATAAATCTCCCAGTTTTAACAAGTCTTCCTTTCAGTTTCAATGCTGTTCCCTTAACAGGCCTTACTTTTATTTCCAATTATAATATGTTCTTTGTACAAAACAGTAGGTTTCATTATGACATTTCAGACACCTTTGATCATATTTATTCTTCCTATTACTCTCTTGTCTCTCCCACCTGCTGGTCTGTTTCCCTTCTTAAATAGCCCCACTTCTATTGTAATGCCTTACTTCTAAAAAGCATAGACTCTGCATATGAAACAAAACATGTATTTGTCTTTCTGAGTATTGTATATTTTCCTTAACCTGATAATCTCTAGTAATATCAATTTCCTGCAAATGACCTAATTCTATTCTTCATGTTTGAGTATAACTCCATTGTGTATATATACTACATTTTCTTTATCCATTCACCTGTTGATGGACACCTAGGCTGACTCCTAGCTATTATGAATAGTATTACAGTAAATGTTTGTATACAGGTTTCTCTTTGCTTTTTCATTTTTATCTTTAGACATATACCAAAGAAGTGATACTTTTTGATTTTAAAGCACAAAAATCTCATATAAAAATTGTGTTCACAGAAGTAATCTGTGTTTGGGAAGTTTTATTTAAAATCAGTATTCAAAAACTTCTCTGTTGGGACTGGAGTGATGGCTCAATGGTAATGAGCACTTACTGCACTTCCAAGGGACCACGGTTTGTTTTTTAGCAATCACTTGGTGGCTAACACCAACCAAGTTCCAGGGGCTCTGACACCCTCTGGCCTCTGTGTCCACCAAGCAAGGGTGTGGTGCACTTACATACACACAGGCAAAAATGTCAGTACACAAGTTAAAAATAAATATCTTTAAAAGAGACTTATCACTGTATATTTTACTTATAATTATATAGAAATAAGAATATAATGAATTTTTAAAGATATTTTCTTGTACTTTGATGTGCTATTTAAAATAATGACATTTTATATATACAGTACATGAAGAAATATGAAAAATAATTACAATTCATTGCAAAAAGTTTTATAATGAGAGTGGAACAATGGAGTGAACAACTATATCTAGGAAATGAATTTCAAGGAGGAATAATTATTGAATTGAGCCTTACAGGATGAGCAGGTGGACATGTTGGGTAAATTGTGTGAGGGGAATTTCTGAAAGAACAGCTTGTGAAAAGGCACAGAGATATAAGAAGACTTTGTGGAACAGCAAGTTCTGTAGAAAAGAGGTGAGAAGAGGTGACAGATGTGGGAGCAGAGGATTCAGCGGTTAAATCATTCTTCGAGAATAGGAATGTCTATGAGACATACAGGCTACTAGAAGTGTCTCCTGGAAAAGTTTTCTTCAATCACAGCCGACAGTAGAGTAACCTTCCGTTCCTTTACCCTTTTGGGACAGTGAATTGCATGATTATTCCCCTCAGCACCTCCTCTTCCTGAAGGAGGACAGAGAAAATATACTAGTGAATAAAGTTCACACATAGGTAAAAGAAGGTGTAATCACAGGCCAGTTAATTCCTTTTCAGACTCTGGTAACCATAAATAAAACATGTCAACCATTAGTTGGATGTCAAGTTCATAGACCCTGTCTTTATGACTGACAGGGACCTTTGGAATTGATATACCCAGGGCAATCTAAATAGTATTTCCTCAAAACAATGATCTATTCTTTCTCCTTCATCCTGTAATCCATAGTGACAGTGAGTCTGCAGTGTGGAGTAGAGGACAAGATATAGATTCATCTGTGTCTCAATTCTAGGACTTTCTACCAGGAGGCCTTATTTATTTGTGGCTTTTCCATGGTTTCAGTTAGGCTGAGGTTTAAGTTTGCACACCTGAATGCTGGGAAGAACAGTCTGTGAACAAGTAGAAAGCCCTCAGGGTGCGGGAACCTGCCTCCTCATCATGTGTCTTAGGGCTCCTGTCACTTCCTTGTTACGAAGGGTATAGATGATGGGGTTGAGCATTGGTGTGACAACTGTGTAGAAGAGACTGAGGATGCGGTCTGTGGTAATAGAGGAGCCTGCCTGCGGCCGGATGTATGTGATGCTGGCTGTTCCAAAGAATAGCGAGACGACAAGCAGGTGGGAGGAGCAGGTAGAGAAGACCTTGCTGCGGCTCTGAGTGGAAGCCATTGCCAAGATGGCTCCCAAGATGCGGACGTAAGAAGTGACTATCAGAGAGAAGGGGACCATGATGAAGACCACAGTTGCTGTCATTACAGAGACTTCGCTCTTGTGCTTCCCAGCACTTGCCAACCTCAGTACTGGCAGGATGTCACAGAGGAAGTGTGGGATGATGGGGTGGCTGGGGAAAGGCAGAGTGAAGATGAGGGAGGAGTGAGTGGTGGCAGTGACGATGCCCATGATCCAGGAGGTTCCCACCATGGCTATACAGGCCCGCTGGCTCATGAGGGTGGAGTAATGCAATGGTCGGCAGATGGCTGCGAAACGGTCATAGGCCATGGCTGTGAGCAGGCAGCACTCTGCAATGCCCAACACAATGAAGAAATACATCTGGGCTGCACAGCTCCAGAAGGAGATGGCCTGGGGGTGAGGAGAGGTCAGATCAGCCAGGATTCTGGGCACGATGTCCGCAGTGTACAGAAGCTCTACCACGGAGAGGTGGCGCAGGAAGAAGTACATAGCTGAGCACAGCGCAGGGCTGGCCTGTGTGAGGAAGATGATCAGGGCGTTGCCCAACAAAGTTATCAGGTAGACCAGAAGCACCAAGCAGAACAGGGGTCCTTGCAGGCCTCTGAGGTCAGAGAAGCCCAGGAGGAGGAACTCTGGTGCTGTAGTATGGTTTGCCTTAGCCATCACTCCAGAGCACAAGCTTTGTACAGACAAGAAAGAAAAGCAATTTAGAAATAACCAACATTTCTGTAATGTTGTAAAACCCTTTTTATACAGTCCTTCTCAAAACAAAAGATTAGACTCACCTGTGGTGATAATGAGGGAATTACATGGCTGCGATTTGAGTCCAGGCCTCTTGTTCTAAAGTCTGTGAATATCCTACATTCATCTGCTCTGTCTCTGGCCTGTTTTCATTTGGAGAAACCCCACTTGGTGTTTGAGAAGGAGAACACTGGAATTGTGGCCCAGGACAAATGGCTACATCAGTGACTGTGGAAAACTAGTGTTTAATGGTCACCACAATGTGCCTAGGACTTAGAATGTCCCACAGTGACTTGACTGTTTATGACATCACAGCATAGGTAAATCATGCTTAGGGATTCTGACACCTGCCCTATTTTTTCCTATCTGGGCCCTTTGATTAGCTACACAAGCTCCACTGTCCCAGCACATCCTGTCAGTACCACCTCATAGAGAGTTCCTGTTTATTTTGATAAATCCCACGTATGGTTCAAGCCTCATTTCTAGCTCCATGGCAGCCTATGTACCCCTCATGCATAGAAACAAATATCCATGACAACTTAGGGTGAAATATTTCCATGCTACGACACTCACATTTTATGTACAGCATTTCAGAAAGGTGCTATGCATTGTGTTTGAACAGCAGTGGGGTTCACTGAGTACTGTCAGCCTCTTTAGTTTTAGCTTCCTCTGCTTGTAGGAAAAGTCTTCACTAATCAGTTTTACCAAATGTACAGAAGCTTATAGAAGTTCTAAACCCTCTTGTACCAGATAATCTTCAAATATTTGAAGAAAACAGTTTTTAAGAAAATATTTTTGGGGGCCGGAGAGCTGGAGCAGCCATTAAAAGCTCAGGCTCATAGCCAAAAAGACAAGCAACTACTTTTTTATCTATACTCTCATGAATTGTGCCTTAGACCCAGCA